CCCCCCCCCCCCCCCCCGCTAGGCTCCCCTCCCCCACCTCCAGCCGCTTGGTGGCCTGCAGCCAACACTGGCCACACTGTCCGCATTCAGGCCTCCTGCCCTCCTGGCCCTCTATCTCTTCCCCTGGCCTTCCCAACACTGCGCTCTCTCGCCACCTCTCCCCCCTTAACAACCCATTATGAACCGTGTTGACCTCTTCCGCCCGGGCGCCCAGCACAGGCTTGGCCCCTCAGTCCCAGACGGGCAGGCAAGGGGCTTGGGCGCCAGGAGCAGCCCCGCGCCCACCAGGCCGTCAGTCCCGTGGCCCCTGGCCCTGCTCGGCCACTCCAGCCAGGAAGATCGCTGCGTCTGCAGAAAGGACGGAAGCATTCCCGGGTCTCGGCTTCCAGGCCCCGGGGAGCCGCACCTCGGAGCTCGGCCCACTCCCCTTGCCCCCTCGGGGCCCTTAACCCCTTCCTGCTTGGGGAAACCAAGGGCCCCAGCCTTGCCACCCAAAACAGGACGGGTGAGATGGGATCCCACATTTCCCTGCTCACTAAGGAAGTGGGGACGGGCAGGCCTTGCTCCTCTGGCCTCTTCCCCCTCCCACTCCCCATCCACCTCGCAGGAAGCCCCCCGCCCCCTGCCCTGGCCGCGATCGCGGCGTCTCCAGTCGGAGCCTCTGGCCTGGTGGTTTCCGGGGAGAGAGGCTGGCAGAGAAAGAGCCTCGCAGCTTCCTCGGTGGGGCGGGGCCAGCGATGGCAGCAAGGGACGCTGGACAGGGTGGGAGGATTCCCCTCCCGGCTGAACCTGCCCTACCGGGCAGGGATTATTAGGAAGGAACACCCCTGCCACATCAGGGCCAGCGCCAGGGTGTGTTGCGCCCTGGGGTGGGGGTGGGGGTAAAGATCTGCAGGTGCCTGGCGGGCGCGGCGCTGGGGGCTGGCCCCACCCAAGTCTCCGCGCCGCTCGCGCACCCGTGCACCCCTCCCCCCCACCACGCAGATCCCGGGTTTGCCAGCGCGGTGGGCAGCGAAGGCCTGAAAACTCTGAGAGCGGGGGCGACGCCAGCACAACCCCCCCGCAGGAATTCCCCTCTCCTTTGGAGAGCCTCTCGACTTCCGGGGAGCGGGGTCACTCCCCGGGTGCGGGCGCCTCTGCTCGCGAAACCAGTCCACTTTGCTTTTGCAAAGGTTTAAGCGCAAGTTGTGATAGGTTCCTGTACAACCTCACCGCGCCCCCCCAACCCCCGCCAGACCTAAGGCGGAAGCGGGATGGGGAGAGGGGTCCAGCCGCCTCCTGAGCCTCTGACGTTCGCTCTTCGCTAATCTCAAACGGCGAAAGTGCACCTTCAACATCTCCATTTAATATTTACATTCAAGCAGGTAATAATTGGAAGCTTATAGTTTAGACATTTCTAGTAGCAGCAGTTTCTAGAGAGCTCGTTTAGCCTTTTAACAAAAAAAAAATTTTTTTTTTGCACATAGAAACAACACATCCATGTGTACAGTATCAAAAAATATATACCAAGGTTACTGGTATTGCAGTTCCTGGAAGGGGAGGAAATGAAATCAACCGAAATACTGAATGAACGGGTAGAAAGGTCAACAGAAAATAGTTTGTCTGATATAGAATATAACATGATCTAGAGAGAACTCCATAAATCTAGGTTTTTATATTTCAATATATAAATACCTACAAATAAATATATATATATATCAGCCCGAAGGGGGTGGTGGGCCTTTTGAGCTCAAACAATACATTTCAATAATAACACCACGTACAAACGGGAGTAAAGTCTGCACTTGACAAGTTAGCACGGTTAAAATATAATACTATAACTCTTAGACCGCCTCGAGTGGCTGCCCTGTCAGTCCCGGAGGTCCACGAGAGAGGGGATGGGGCAGATGAGGGGCAAGACCCGCAGGCACGGCGTGGAAGGCGCCAGTGTGGGCCGGGCGCTCCGGACAGAACCCGGTGGAGGGGCGCGGTTGCCGCGGCTTCTGGCATTTTTGCGCTGGGACCCGGCCCGGATCTCCCGCAGTTGGAGAGAGGCGAAGTCCGCCCCCAGGCCCCAGGTGTTAAGCCCCGGCGGGTACAGCGCTTCCCTTTCCGACGCCCTTCGGAAGGCTACACCGTCACGTACTCCTTGAACGTGACGGTGAGGCAGTTTGCGGTGACGTCGGTGATAATTATATTCCCAAAGAAGGGTTTGAACTCGCTGAGTGGCTCCTCGGGCTCGTCCTGGGCCTCGGTCGGAGGCTTCTCGGCCGCTGTCGCCGGCGCAGCTGCCACCGCCGCGGTTGCGGGCGCCTCAGGCTTCACCTGGAGGGCGCTGGGCGGCTCCCCGGCCTCGCCGCGCGTCTTGACGCAGCGCAAGTCTATGGGCTCGTCCAGGTCCGAGTCCAGCAGGATGACCTCCGGTTGCGGGAGGGCGGCAGCGGGGGTCACGTCCGCGGGGCGCTCGGCGGTGGGGCTGCCCCCCAGGCAGGTGGGGGTGCTAATGCTGCGCGCTGTCAGGCGCTTCTTGCAGGGCTCTCGCTCGCCGTGGGTCTCGGAGAGGCAGCGCTTGCGCGCGTGGGAGAGATTTAGGTCGACGGCGTGGTGATGGTGGTGGTGGTGGTGGTGGTGATGATGGGAGGGCAGCTGTGTGCCGCGGGGCGGGTCCCAGGCCAGCAGGTCAGGCTTGGTGGTGAGCTGCAACGGCTGCTCGCCGAAGGCCTCCTTGGTCGGGGAGAGCTTTCGGGAGCCGGCCTCCTGGGGCTGCGGGTCCCCGGGCCCCGGCCCCTCCTCCTCCCTCCTCTTGGAGGGCGTTTCCGCCTTCTTCTCCTCCGCCCCCGCGGCCTTTTTGAAAGTCCTGTCTGCAGGGGGGTGACGTTCCTCGGCAGCCCGCTTCTTGTGGCTGGGGGAGCGCGCCTCGCCCTCGGCTGCCTCTCCGGACTTGATCTTCACTGCCTGCATGCCGTTCTCCATGTACTTGCTCATCACGATCACGATGCGTCCGTTCTTGTTCTTGTTTTTGACTATCTTCATCTTGCCCCCAATCCCGTTGCCCGTCACCGCTTCCTTGGGGGCCGGCGTCATCCCGTTGGGGGGACCCTTCTCGGAGCCCTTGCCTGGAGCCCCGACCGCACCGGCCAAGGGCTTCACCGCTCCCAGGTAGCCCTTGGCACCCCCGCCGTGGGCCCACTTATCTGGCGGGTGGCTCTTGGCGCCTAGGTCCGGGCAGGTGGGGCTGGGCGCCTCCTTGTGGCTGCCCTGGTACTGCAGGTCATACATTTTGGGGTCAGGCTGGTAGGGGTGGTGCTTCTTGCTGTTGAGCTGGTAGTAGTATTTGCCGCTCTTGCCTGGCGGGGGGGGCTTGCCCGCCCGCTCCTTGCTGTGCGGCTGGTACTGGTGGTGCTTCTTGCTGTTGAGCTCGTACTGGTGCCCCTGGCCCTTGCCCTGACCACCCAGCTCCAGCTTGGCGCGGTTGTCAGCCGAGGAGTCCTGGAGTCCGGTCAGAACGTTGGAACGACGGGCAAAGGTAGGTACCTAGGGGAATGGGGGTAGAAATGGAGGGAGAGATAAGAGGAGGGGTAAGGCCAGCCCCAGAGCAAGCCTCAAGCTCCAGGAGTGTCCCAGCCCCTACCAGGTCAGCAGGTGCGTTATGGGGTGGGGTGGGGGGCGGGGAAGGGTGTGGGAGGTCACGATGAAAGGAAGTGGAATTGGGTGTTCTGGAGGAACTCGCCCTGACTTCCGGGCCTGGAGGCAGCTCAGGTGGCAATGTCATGGGAAAGACTTTTGGACGGCCCCCGGGGCCAGGGAGTGTATTCACCTGCACCACCAGTGGTTTGGGCTTTGGCCCTCTCTTCC